AATCAGCTCTCCCATTGGCTGGATCCTGAAAGGAGGAGAAAGCCAGCAGCAACACACAAAGCAGACAAGACTGGGGTCGTCACACTACTAATAAGGACTAATTGATAATAGTTTACAAAATTGTGATTTTAAGATTCAAACATTAAAGATTACCATCTCTCAACACATTTGTGTTTTGGGGTGTGCATATTTTAATAGATACTTTATTGATCCCCGTAAGAGAAATTCAGGTGTCCAGAAGCAGCAAAAATAAAATTGATCATTCTAAAAAGCTAATAATAGTAACAATCAGTAACAGCCCTTCAGGTCACAGCAGCAGAGGTGGTGAGGAAGATGTACCAAGTCTGGGATCGCGTCTTAAATTCAGACAGAAGACTTGTTTTATTGTCGATGGTAGAGACAGCACGATCAAAGCACACGATCACAGATACAAGAGAATGCAAGTGTATTATACAGAGCGGAGGCATGGAGACCTCCAATCAGCAGCTGCCACGGTGCCATGTAGCTTGGCCTTCAGATAGACAAAACAAGGGAAAAGTACTGGCTTCTGCACATTGATAGAATGATGAGTTTAACTTTAACAAAAGTTGCTTCAAAGTGTTATGAAATCTCACATTCCCCCCTCTGGTCATACATTCACGTGTGACCATCAGGATCGATAAACAGCAACATAACATCATAACTCAATACTTCAAAAACTCATAAACTCGGTACTTCAAAAAACTCAGAACTCGGAATACTTCAAAAACTCATAAAACTCATAAAACATGTTCAGATCTTTCATAAAACTTGTCAACAATCTTCAGTAAAATACCAAACTTCATCAGTCGATGGTTCCAGATATTGCTTTGAAAACAGTCTCTCCCACTTCTCCTGTTGGTTTCTTCAGGCTGCATTTGTGTCGAGCCATGAATTCTTCTGTGACGTGTCTTTCAATCACACGTTTCAGCTTTAGTGTCCAGATTCAGCAATCCAATTCAGTCCAAATTATGTCCAAATTCAGAAATCCAGATTGTTCCAAATCATGTCCTTGCAAAAGAGGACGCTGGTGTTGTCCATGTCTCAGCAGCTCACAGCCTGACTGGAATCAGGGGCTGTGCAGATTGTCCATGTGCTGATCCAGATGCATTCTCTTGAGGTTTCTCAGTTTTGGCTTAAAAAAAAAACACTTTTTGTGTAAAAAAAAAAAAGTCTTCTGTTCTCTAGATGTTACAGACAAGGCCCGCATCTTTCCACCACCTGAAGAAGATGACATGTCTGGGATCGCGTCGTTAATTCAGACAGAAGACATGTTTTATTGTCAATGGTAGAGACAGCACAATCAAAGCACACGATCACAGATACAACAGAATGCAAGTGTATTATACAGAGCGGAGGCATGGAGACCTCCAATCAGCAGCTTCCACGGTGTGCTTGTAGCTTGGCCTTCAGATAGACAAAACAAGGGAAAAGTACTGGCTTCTGCACATTGATAGAATGATGAGTTTAACTTTAACAAAAGTTGCTTCAAAGTGTTATGAAATCTCACAGTGGTGTAGCCTTCGGGTGGAGCAGGACGGGTCGCAGCAGTACAGATGGAGTAGCCTCTGGGTGGAGCAGGACGGGTCACAGCAGCAGAGGTGGAGTAGCCTCTGGGTGGAGCAGGACGGGTCGCAGCAGCACAGATGGAGTAGCCTTTGGGTGGAGCAGGACGGGTCACAGCAGCAGAGGTGGAGTAGCCTCTGGGTGGAGCAGGACGGGTCACAGCAGCAGAGGTGGAGGAGCCTCTGGGTGGAGCAGAGGTGGAGAAGCCTCTGGGTGGAGCAGGACGGGTCGCAGCAGCACAGATGAGTAGCCTTTGGGTGGAGCAGGACGGGTCACAGCAGCAGAGGTGGAGTAGCCTCTGGGTGGAGCAGGACGGGTCACAGCAGCACAGATGGAGTAGCCTCTGGGTGGAGCAGGACGGGTCACAGCAGCAGAGGTGGAGTAGCCTCTGGGTCGCAGCAGCACAGATGGAGTAGCCTCTGGGTGGAGCAGGACGGGTCACAGCGGCAGAAGTGGAGAAGCCTCTGGGTGGAGCAGAATGGGTCGCAGCAGCACAGATGGAGTAGCCTCTGGGTGGAGCAGGACGGGTCACAGCAGCAGAGGTGGAGCAGGACGGGTCACAGCAGCAGAGGTGGAGCAGGACGGGTCACAGCAGCACAGATGGAGTAGCCTCTGGGTGGAGCAGAGGTGGAGAAGCCTCTGGGTGGAGCAGGACGGGTCGCAGCAGCACAGATGGAGAGCATTTGGGTGGAGCAGGACGGGTCACAGCAGCAGAGGTGGAGTAGCCTCTGGGTGGAGCAGGACGGGTCACAGCAGCAGAGGTGGAGGAGCCTCTGGGTGGAGCAGAGGTGGAGAAGCCTCTGGGTGGAGCAGGACGGGTCGCAGCAGCACAGATGGAGTAGCCTTTGGGTGGAGCAGGACGGGTCACAGCAGCAGAGGTGGAGTAGCCTCTGGGTGGAGCAGGACGGGTCACAGCAGCACAGATGGAGTAGCCTCTGGGTGGAGCAGGACGGGTCACAGCAGCAGAGGTGGAGTAGCCTCTGGGTCGCAGCAGCACAGATGGAGTAGCCTCTGGGTGGAGCAGGACGGGTCACAGCGGCAGAAGTGGAGAAGCCTCTGGGTGGAGCAGAATGGGTCGCAGCAGCACAGATGGAGTAGCCTCTGGGTGGAGCAGGACGGGTCACAGCAGCAGAGGTGGAGCAGGACGGGTCACAGCAGCACAGATGGAGTAGCCTCTGGGTGGAGCAGAGGTGGAGAAGCCTCTGGGTGGAGCAGGACGGGTCGCAGCAGCACAGATGGAGTAGCATTTGGGTGGAGCAGGACGGGTCACAGTAGCAGAGGTGGAGTAGCATTTGGGTGGAGCAGGACGGGTCACAGCAGCAGAGGTGGAGTAGCCTCTGGGTGGAGCAGGACGGGTCACAGCAGCAGAGGTGGAGTAGCCTCTGGGTGGAGCAGGACAGGTCACAGCAGCACAGATGGAGTAGCCTCTGGGTGGAGCAGGGCAGGTCAAAAGGTGAAGTACCTGCTTGGTCGGACCGTTTTCTCTGCTCTAGTCCAAAGTAAAATGCTAAATGCTTCATTAGCATTTTTCAAAAAGTTAGCATTCCTCCATTTTCCCCTGATCCACTTGGTTCAGACCATGAATCCTCTCTGCTCCAGTCTGGACCAGTGCAAAACCATGAACACTGTACTGCAGCAACATCTCAGGAAGAAAAAAGCAAGAAGAATAGTATTCAACTATTAAACAATTTTGAGTGACTATGAAACTATAACAATGCGTTATGTGTAGTTTGTGTGTTTGTGTGTGTGTGCACATTTACCTTTTCTCTGAGCGTGTGGAGAAACATGGGCAGCAATCACAGCAGTGCCAGAAACTCTTCAAACCTGCTTCAAACTGAGGACGTCACATTAACCGGTATTGGCGGTAACCTGCACCAAACATGTTGACAGTAGCAATAACTGATTGTAACAAGCCGACGTTTTCTGTCGGTTACTCCACCTGCCGTGTCCAGCTTCTGTTCAGAGTCTGAAGACGTTTTATGATAAAACCCATTACACACTTCAGACACAGGTCACTGGAGCGGTGCAGAAATCAATGAGGTCCTCGACACTGATCAAAGAGATGGACTTCAGCCATGGCACTCTTCTGTTTTAATTAAGACATGTTGTTATTCTGATTTGAATTCCTCACTGCGCACAGATGATTGTGCCATTTTCCAGTCCGGAGTGTGAATCCCTGGAAGGTTTTGGACTGTGAGCCGGTGTAAGTGGGGCAGTGTGTGTGAAGAGGCTGAGGCACTCTGACCAGTCTGAGCAGCAGAGAACAGACTGCAGGCTCTGAAAACCAGGGACAAACGAGCTGTTTTCTCCTTCAAAGAACACTGATTACACTTACTGCCACGCCGCTCTCTGTCAGGATTGTTCAAAGCAGTCAAACACCTGCGATTTTAGTTAATGTAACATAGCTCATCCTCATGCAGAGCAGCTGTGGCATGCAGGCAGTAACGGGTAATTTCCTGTCTCGTAATGTAAACCGGAAATCTGACTTTGACTGTGTACATTTCTCCCCGTGCGTAAGAGGAATTTTAAACTCATCTCCCGCGTGAATTTGTGCTTCCCTTTGAAATGTAATTCAAATGTCAGTGACCTTGTTTATTATTTAGAGTTTTGCGGTTTGTTATAGCTTTGCACAGCAGTGTTTCTCAACTGTAGTGCATCATGGGGGCGAGCCTTTCCCCACCATCCTCTTTAGTTAAGTACTGTATCTATTACTGTTATAGTGATATAGAAAGCTGAATACATAAATGTGTCTATTATGGCATTTTTTTGTACTTGAATCAAGAAATGTCCCCTGAAAATTATTGAATTTCTTGAAATTAGCTTTTCAGATATTTTTTACCCTTTTACAAGATTTTATTTTCTTGATTCCACATACAATAGTTTTAGCTGTGCATGATTATCCAATGTGGTACACTGCAAAAAGTGATAACATGAGGTAATCACTGTTTAAATCAATTTATTCTGACTATAAGCAAGACTTTCCAATGGGACAAAGCTTATTAGTTAAATACAGTTGAATTTGTATTTCTCATTCCAAGGGAGACATTTTTTTAAACAGGATGATTCTGCTTGTCCCATTGGCAAATCTTGTTTTAAGCTAGTCAAGACGTGCTCAAATTAAGATACATTTTTACTTATTTTTCATTGCTTTTTGCAGTGTAATACAGCGTTTTACATAATATGCATTTAATTCATTCCTCATTTGGATCGTAGCTTGGCGTTCTGTTGATGAAGGGCCCTGACACCATTCCAGTTGAGAAGCACTGCACCGCACCATATGTCCAAATGTTTTTTTTTTTTTTCCACCCAGCTTCAATAACAGTATAGTGTGGAGATTTTCCTCTGGGGACAAATCTATATCTTATTCCAGTGTGTTCTTTTTTATAGTAAAGGCTTTTTGCGCTGGTCTTTTGTAGTTACCTGAACGACCTGGAGAGGATAGCCAAAGAAGACTACATCCCCACCCAGCAGGACGTCCTCAGAACCAGGGTCAAAACCACTGGGATCGTGGAGACTCACTTCACCTTCAAAGAGCTGCACTTCAAGTAAGACTCCTCTCCTCTGACGTCACTACAACTCCCATAATGCAACACTAATGTGCAAAATGCTGTGGGTATTTTATTTTTTTTTTTCTGGGGAAAGATTGCTTGATGAGCAGCTTGTGCAAACTCGGGCAAGAGGGCATGAAATTAAATGTCTGTTTATGGTGTCTCTGGAAAAGTTATTAAACCACATCGAGCTAATAAGTGCTTCTAGACAATGTGCAAAACTGGCATCAATATGGTACGCTATGGTTTTTTAAAATATTTACAGGGACAGTGTACAAGGAGCATTAGCCAAGAGGAGCGATGCATTGTACCAGGTTGTAGCAGCAGTGCTAATTTACACCTGTAGTCCCTGAGCAGCCAGCGTTGGCAAAGTGGTATTCAGAAACGGAGGCCATCGGGGGGAATAGCGCTCGGAATGTGTGAGAAAATGAAGACTTCAAGTTGAATTAATGTAAAGTTTGGAATGTGTTTTGACCACGTTAACCTTGCTCTCCGCTGCCTACACGGAACAATAGGTCGTGTATGTAAAGTGCCCGGGCCTCTTTCAACCTCCAGCTGAGACCGTAATGGATGTACACTACACACATAATAAGCCTCTTTAACAATGGCTGTATAAAAGAATAGTGCTGCGTTATTGCTAGCGCCGTAGCCCTCTCGTTGTCTAGTTTTTTTAATTGGTCCATGGTCCCTTTCTCTGTTTATAGACCACGGCTGAAAGAAGGCAGTACTGTACTTGTGGTTTGAACTTTTTTTTACACGCAACATGCAGCTGAGTGGTCAACGCTAATCACACAATAGCACAGACAAGTTATGTTCATTGTACATTCTGAGCATGCCTCTATTTCATCATGACTTGAGTTTGTGTTATTAAAGCAACGGCAGGTTTTCTCATCTGAACAATACTGAAATGGGAAGGTTTGACTCATGAGCCGTTTTTTCATTCATTTACTTTGATGTGAACTGGGACACTGTAATTACATTTCGCCTTTTGCGATTTGAACCAATGACACTATTTGACGCTAGTATATTATGGCGTAGCTGCAGAAGGGTTTTTTAAAAAGACTTATTAAATTTTGCTTCACAAATAGAGCTTTTCTTTAGAGGACTCTACGACGCCAGGAGTGACCTAAGCGCTTTCCATTAAAATCACATCAGAAACACAAAACAGAAACACAAAACAATCAATTGAATAGTGAATGAGGGAGTAAGTTATGTTTATTAAAAGGAGCTATACCTGTTTCTGCAAGGTTTGAATGTTTAGCACCGCCCTCAACTCGCTCACAGGCTTCTCATTTCCCCTACGCTCTCATCCCACAGAACCATCTAGTTTTATTTGCTAAAGTCTCTACTCAGCACTTTTTACGGCCTGAATTCATACACAAGCTGAAATAATGAGCTCAAGTTTTCAAGTTACGGATTATAATACAACTTGTATGTAGTAATAATTTTTATTTTTTTTATCACATTTTGCATTTTTATGAACTCATTAAAACAAAATCTGTATAGCATCTTTAAATGGCACATTTTTTACAAATCAATCAAGGTCACCCGAAGCACTTTACAATGTTTAGAGTTCAGATGTTGTTCCATTCTCTCCTCGCAGTGATGACAGAAGCGAGACGGCGAGCACCAACACCATCCATTCACTCACTCGTTACTTTCATAACTATTGCGCATGTTTTTAGTGGTAGGGGAAACCGGAGCCACTGGAGGACACCTACGCAGACATGGGGAGAACATGCAAACTCCACTCAGAAAGGCTCTGTTCCGACCGGGATTCGAACCCAGGACCTTTAGTGTGTACAAAATAATCAACTTTTATCAGTGGAGCGTCTTCGTGGGGTGTGAAGGAGCATTTTTGTTTTGTTTCTTTTTTTTTTCTTTTTCTGTGTGTTCATTTAATTCTTTCTTCTGTAAATTGTTTTTGTGTGTGTGTGTTTACATGTTTGTATCCCCCTCGAAAATGAGATGATTTTTCTCAAGGCGACAGTAGCTCAGTTGGTAGAGCATTGGCCTTTAGGCCTGAAGGTTGTGGGTTCAATTCCCACCTTGACACCTTCTCCACTGACTCCCACTGATGACTGCTGTCGTTGTGTCCTTGGGCAAGACACTTAACCCGACTTTGCCCAAAGCCCCCACTTAGAGATCGTGGCTATGCTCACGTTGACAGAGCAGCCGTCCTCCTGTGGACTCACCACCTGCAGAGGATCAGTGAGGGGCTGGTGCTCTGTGCCTTGGGTGGCATCTCTGACTGCCACCCCCCTGACCCAGAAATGGATTAAGGGGTAGAAAATGGATGGATGGGTTTTTCTTAATAAACTTAAAAGGAAACACAAAACCTCCCAACCCATATCGCATCAAACATAAATCAGAAACATTAAAACTGCATACAAATTAAATAAAAAACAGCATTAAGATAACAAGAAATAATTTTTTGATGATTTAACTGATTTTCAAGACCCACAGAATATTGTGTGCTATGACTATGTGAAATATGAAACCATTCTGAATGACTGGACCATCTACTTTAATCAGACACATTTAAATTGGTTTCTAGATAGTTTTGTTCTCCTGTAATCCTCAGTCGAATAGAGGTAAGTTAGACAGAAATCTCCAGTCTCAGACAAAGACGTCCATGGCAGTAGGGCTGAAACAACTAATCGATTAATCGACGACTAATCGATTATTGAAATAGTCGACAACTATTTTAGTAATCGATTAATCGTTTTCTGGTTCACACAGACTCAAACAGAGCAAAAAATTGAAATTTCTCCACTGAGACTAATAAAGGTTTATCTTAAAAATGACATGAAAATGTAGTATTTTTGATTAAAACCAACTTTGTTTTTATAATTTCATGAATATCTGTCTCATCCAATCAGATAGCAGAATTAGCACAAAGAGCCTGTTACAAACATTTACTTTAAGTTTACGCAATCAATACGTCCTCGAGTGTTGCCACTTTAGCTTTTTGTGATGAAAAAATATTTTTTTTCTACACAATTCACAGCCAAGCGATTATTCGATTAATCGTAAAAATAATCGATAGATTAATCGATTACAAAATAATCGTTAGTTGCAGCTCTACATGGCAGTCAATGAGCTCAAAAGTCACGCACATGATTAAAATAATAAATAGCCACAGTGCATTCAAAAGAGTTGATATTTAATCCTTCAGTTGTATGCACAGCTAAATGGAACTATTTTTTAGCCTTGATTTGAACATTACCAGAGTCAATAAGTGTACAAATTACATGCCACTGTGATACACCTGTAGTAGAAGGAAGCCAGGGTGAAATACGGGTCTTCAGTCTTGCCTTACAACACACTGCAGGCTATTTTTCCCCCTTTTATATTTGTCAAATCTTCGCAGCAGACCCGTGTCCACTTCTCCAATGCTCCCGCTCCCTCATGAAATGTTAATGGACTTCCAGGGACTCTCCAACCCTCCTCCTCAATTTGTCACTTGTCCTAAAAATGCCCTCGTCCCTGTCCTGTGTGTCGTGTGTATACCATCACATACTGCCCCTGACCCAAATGCACTGTTCTTTCTTTTTGCCTGCAGGATGTTTGATGTGGGAGGCCAGCGCTCTGAGAGGAAGAAGTGGATCCACTGCTTCGAGGGCGTCACAGCCATTATCTTCTGCGTGGCTCTGAGCGCGTATGACCTGGTGCTGGCCGAAGACGAGGAGATGGTACGGAAAATATTTAACAGGGAATTCAGCCACGGCATGTTTTGTGTATTTAATAATATTCTTATTTGGGTTGCACCATTTTCCTCCTTTGTAAACTTCCCTTTATCAGGGATCAGGGTTACGTCCTTGTTTATCAATCCCACAATCCTACGATTTCACTGGAGGTAGTCTAGAAGGTCCCCACTAAGGTTGTCACGACGTATAGTTATTTATTTTAAGATGAAGAGATACTTTATCCATCCCACAGCGGGGAAATTTCAGTGTTGCATCACAAGTTACAGAACAGTAAGAATAAGGAGCACACAAGAGAACAATAACTATACAAATAAAAATAAAACATTAGTCTTTTTTCTTAGCTATGCCTTGATTCAAACCAGTTGCAGAATTTCTCAACGACTCCAGTGAACTTTTTCCTATACAGGGACTTCCTACAAATCTTTCACACACGTTATTCTTGTTTTTATTGACTTTAGTGGTTCCGTCTCCTGCAGTGTTAATTTCGTTGACGAAATATTATCGTCATATTTTTCGTCACGAATATATTTTTGGGGACTAAAACGAAACGAAAACTAAAATAGCAATCATTCATTTTGACTAAGACGATGACTAAATTGATCCACGTTTTAGTCAACAAATAAAAGACGAGACGAAAATCAGACAATGACGAAATCAAATCAGAAGAAGGGTTAGATAAGGCAAATGAGAAAACAACCAATCGACTGGCCGGACTAGATACGCGGAGGACCAATGAGGGCTTGCCTTATTAACCAAGCACCGGTGGCGGCAGCTCGAAGCTACTGCTAACGCTATTAAGCACTCTTGGAAGCTTGTGAATGAAAAGACCAAGAACATGTCCAGAGCTGGGAGAAAGAGAAGAGAAGATCTGTGGGCCTTTTTTACCTTCATCGGAGACGAAAACAAGACCAAATGTAAAGCATGCGGAGCGGCTATTTGTGGCAAAAACACGACAAATTTGAAGAGACATCTACAGAATACCCACTCCGACATTTTCTCCAAGGTAGATTTCTTTGCTTAGACTTTATTTCATTGTGTCAAATTACATTATATAAAAACAAGATTGCACCAATGTACGTGTGCGTTCATGTGACACGAACATAAAAGTAGCCTAAAGTAAAGTAATGTAATTGAGCTACTCGTGTCACGTTTGTCATCGTATTCTATATTTGTACAAAATGTCCCCATTTATACATAAAAATGTCATGAGCAACATTATATTTGAATACAAATGTGAGTTAGTTTTACACGCTAATTTAGCAATGCCGTGACTATTTTATCATCAAGGATATATATATATATTAATTACACGTACGTATGTTATGTAACGATTTCCTTTTTATGCCACAGTTGCTGAAGTCTACTGATGAAGGTGGACAACCAAGTGCAAAAAGAGCAAAAGCATCCCATCAAAACATTGCAGAGGCAATATTAAGTACTACAAAGTACAAAAGTGATGCAAAAGATCAACAGATAAAAGAGGAGGCTATTGCTAAATGGATAGGACGTACAGGGTTACCAGTCACAACAGTAGAAGATGAGGACTTCATTCTCCTGATGGAAACATTTGATAAGAAGCTGACTGTGCCAAAGAAAACAAAAATAAGCAATCTGATTGAGAAACACTATGAAGATGAAGTAAATAAATTTAAGAAAAGACTGTCTGGTGTGCGGAAGGTATCAATTGGGATTGACCTATGGACTAAAAAGGGACTGACTGCATCATTTCTTGCGATAAGTTGCTGCTATTTTTGTGTGGAACAAAATAAACCAGAACACGTACTGCTAGCTCTTGAGCAAGTTGCCCATCCACATACTGCCCAGTCCATTAAGGCCTGTGTGGATAAGTGCATGCAGGAATGGGACATTTCAAATGAGAAAATCCTTTTTGTAGTAACGGACAATGGAAGCAATATGGTGGCAGCATTTAAACACAATAGTCTAGTAGAAGAGGAGACCAGCTCCGATGATCAAAATGAGTGCCCCATGGTTGAAAGTGACACTGAGGACAAGATGGAAGACAATCGGTGAGCCACTTAAGCATTTATCTTATTAATAATCAAATTTCTAACGTTTATTTACTCTTCTGTTTTTAGGTACCAAAGCATGGACATAAATGTGGATTGGATACCATGTGTAGTGCACACACTGCAGCTTGTGGTTCACATTATAAACAAGGAGGCGAGTGTAAAGAGACTTCTTGGAAAAACAAGATCGATTGTGAAGCTCTTTCGCAAGTCATCAGTTGCAACACAGAAAATGTTAGAGGAGTGTGGTCTAATTGTTGTGAATGATTGTCCCACACGCTGGTCAAGCACTTTTAACATGATAGCCAGACTCCTCGAAGTTAAAGATTCTTTTTGCCAAATAGCGCATGAGATGGGGTGGGACAGCTTGCTTTCTAGTGAGTGGCAAAAGCTCAAGTCGTTGCATGAACTTCTGTTGCCTTTTGCTGAACACACACAAACTCTTCAGAGTGACACTATGTCTATGTCACTTATACTCCCTGCTCTTTTAGATTTGCTCAGCCACCTTACGGATTTTGAACAAAATACAAATCTGAGAGACATTTCAGCTCTTGCACAGAAAATGAAAGGGAGTGTGAACCAGCGTTTTGCTTGGGTGTTGGATCCATCAGATGATAAGTTTTCCCCACTTGCAGCAGCTGCTTGCTTTCTCAACCCTACTGTGTGCGAGACCCTTCTTCAACTTGATGTAGCTGATGACAGTATTCAGGAACTACTTAAGCAGGCAGAGGTGTATGTAGTCAATTACACTCAGAGACATGGGGAGGACGATGATTTGGAAGCTGTGAATGAACGAGAGCCTGACCTAGCACAAGACCCAGCGCCACCATCCTCATCATTAAAGCAACCAGTCTTTAGATTTCTGTCCAAATGCCGTACAAAGCCTAAACCAAAGTTCTCCACACGTAGCACTAGACAGCAGATAACCAAGTATAAGGAAGAGCTCTCACAGCCCATAACTTGTGAAACAGGAATTGACTTTTGGTTAGGAAAATGTGACTCCTTTTATCACAGTTTGAAACCAATAGCATTAGACCTATTGGCAATGCCAGCTTCTCAAGCTTTTGCAGAAAGGGTTTTCAGTGTCACAGGTGACCTAACTAGGGGAAAACGTAACCGAGCAAAAGTCACATTAGGACGAAGTGCATTCCTCAAAATGAATCGAAGTAAATAACTGATCGTTTTTTATTTTTTCCAGCCTTGCTGTAGCGAGAAGTATTGTCAATGCACTTTATTTGAATTCAAATAGTTTACTGTTTAGCTGGAAGCTTTATTTTGAGTGATTACAGCCTCATTTGTTGCAATGTTGTAATTTCTAAATGCACTTTACTTGAAGAGTTTACATTTATTATAGGTGCACAATGTTTATGGTTAAAGCACTTGATTCAAACTTTCAAAGATGTTTACATTTCTTGTTCAGACACACTTCAGTGTGGCTTTTTATTGGAGAAACTGTCTTTCAATAAAAGCATGTGTTGCAATAATAAAGAGTCAAATGTTTATATTTCATATTAAATTACAGTTCCAAGTAGGTTTAGCTTCATTTTCCACATAGATTGAAATGTATTGTTTCAGAAAATAAGTTGTATTTTTTAGTCGACTAAAATTGCTTCATATTTTAGTCGACTAAAATTGGACTAAAACTAAATTAAATCAGAAGACTAAAATTGTGACTAAAACTAAAATTAATTTTAGTCAACAGACTAAGACTAAAACTAAATTACAATTTCTTGTCAAAATTAACACTGGTCTCCTGTAGTGTCAGGGTTCTGTGTAGAAGTGTTTATTTGTTGTTGCTGCTGTATTCATTATGTCTTGTCCAAAACGATAAAACAGAAAACACAGATATACAATTTAAAAAAAGGAGTAGGTAGATGTAAAGCATATGTTTCCTACTCCTTCCTGCCATTTTTATTTATTTATTTTTTATAGAATTACAAATGAGTCCATTTACAGTCAGAACAGGCATATACATCGGCTATTCCTCTTAATTATAATTGACAGTCATGACCATAAAGTCGTATTTCAAAGGTACATTAATCACCAGGATCCTTTTCCTTTTGTACCTACAGTATGCATTACTTATGATAAAGAGTGTGATTTTATCTGCTCCTCATTACTTTACACTTTAAACAAATATTTGCATTTGTATACATGAAATATTAACATATTGAATATCCAAACAATACTGTACAGAGATCCTTATACATAACTAGATTATACCGGCGGCTTTTTTTTTTTTCATATGTATTTTCTTTTCCATTATTTAACCTGTCAATTTTCTACCGTTTGTGAATGCTGTTATCTGTAGATGATTTCCTGTCACGGATAATTAAAGTTAAAAGCTGTATTTAATTTCCTTGTTGCTGTTGCCCGTCCCTCCTCATTATGGCCTAATGATGGGAACCTCTCGGTGCTAAAACGTAATCAATGGACTTTAACGATCCATTTCTAGCGCCGCGTAATTAGGTTATAAAATCATCTTGGCCCATCTTTCAACTGACTTCAACCATTTGACCCTCATCTTCAGAACAGCTTCTGCATTTAAAGCAGCTGCTCCAGAGACCTGTCTATAGAGCAAACTAGCGCGAATGTGGAGCAACACTGCCCCCTGGTGGACGCGCGCCACCCACAGCCTCATGCAGAACACATGCGGCCCATTATGGGGTGGGAAAAGGTTGCAATGGCTGAGTTTTCAGTGATAGAAGGGGGCTGATAATACGCAAGTTTATTTGTATACATAGTTCCCACATGACGTCACTACATACGGGGATTTGCCGACCCGGCGCCATTTGTGTTGGCATGCTGTGGGCAAAACAATAGAAAAAGAAGCTGAAACGTGTTAATGTCGTGATAAAGTTGAAAATGGTCCTCTCCTGCTGGGTCAATGGATGTTCAAATCGTGCCGGAGGTTCCGTTAAACTTGGATTATACAGTATACCCATCATTAGACTTCAT